GCCGCAAAGGCTCCTGTGCAAGGACCATTCCCTGCAGGTGTATTTTGCTGGATGCAACAGTGAAGAAACACTTAAACCCCTGAGTTGGTGATGCACTTCTAGAGCAGCTCAGTGGAGCTGAGCAAACGGAGAAAAATTACGCGGGCAACTTGGTAGCAAAATAATCACAGACACGTGAAAAGGAGAGACAGATACTCATGGCTGTTGGCTGTTCTTGGGTCTTCTGCAGATCCTTTTTGTGGAATACAGCTGCATGATCCCAGCACGGGATCCCTGCTTGGTGCAGGGAAGGCTGGATCAGGCTGATGCCCCACTTGTGGCTTTGGGTGCTCATGTAGAGACCCTCCTTGCAAAGACCATTTCCAGATGTCTTCCAAACAAAGTCCAACCCATAAATTATTCTTAAATCAGGAGCAGCTGGTTCACATCCCAGTTCTCCGTGTACTTATTTGTCATGCTTCTGGGAACTGAAATAGGATTTGCTGTAGGGAACCCTTCCCGTAGTCACCAACGGCCTTCCAGCTCATTGCATCAATAACCTGCAGGCTTGCCTGTCCTCTCTTAAGGTGTCCAAATCCTTCCAAATTCAAAAGTTTGTGGGGTGTGCACACCATGAAGAGATGTACAAACCCATCTGCATCTCTCTGCACCCAACTAACATGGGTTTTATACAAAAAAGCCACCTTGTGAATGACAGCCTGTATTTTCCACGGGTTTGGTACCAAAAGGGTTGTCCTGTCCCAAGTGCTTGTGTTAGGATTAAGCAACATGACAAGTGCAAGGAAAGTAAAGTTGCCCTGAAGTTTATTTACGGAGGAGTATTTTCTCTGATGAACCTGGAGCATTCAAGGCCTTTGAAGTGAGTCATTCCCAGAGCACTAAAACAAGTGCAAATCAGCGAGAAAGAATTTAAAAAGGAGACCGTTCATAAGCGAAGGTCACCGAGGAGAGCAAATGCCACCTGAGCCCAGGTTCTAACGAAGCTTTTTTCTGGTGGAATAAATGAAGTCCCTTAATTACCATTTTGTAAATAAAATCTTCTTGGAAAATCAATATTTAGAGCCTGCCTTCTCTGAAGACGTTGGCCTTTGTTCTTTGCTATTAAGGCAATATAAACCCCATAGTGTGATATACTTCTAGGCTGAAAATTACCCCCCTGAACCTGATTGGGTCAAAGGAAGAAAAGCAATAAACCTTTCAGAGCAGTCATTTGGGTACAATTTCATGCTTCCTTGTAAATTTTGAAGTAATAACCAAAAAAGCATGATTTTACACAAGCCCACAATTAACTCGTCCAGTAACCAACCCCCTCCTCCTGCTTTCAGGCTGGGTTGGAGATGCCGGGTGGGAATTTTGCTGGAAATGCCCATTCCACCTCTCAGGCATTTGGACTGTAGCTTCATTCCACCTCTCAGGCATTTGGATTGTGTTTAATCTGAATCATCCCAGGAATAAAATGGGCAAACTGGCATCTCTGATCAACAGAAGGACAGACCCTGTGGCTGCTGTGGACATGGGGTCCATCAAAGTCAAAAAGGTTCCATCAGCTTCTCCATCTGAGACAGCTATCGGCTCCATCCCCAACCCAGGGACTGATTGCATGGCAAGGCAGCTCCACCATCAGCTCCTTCAGTGATTTTTATTCTCAGTTTTTAATGGAAAACCCCACAATTCCCTACGCTGGAGCCTTCATGCATTTTTCATTAACAATTATCCGTGATCCCAGAACTGCTTTTGATTTTTGCTAATCATCGATTGGATATTTTGTTCCCACACAGCTGGCATTTTCAAAACATAACAACCACCTCTGGAGAGGGCACAGCAGAAGGCTGATCTTTTAATGCTAATGTGCCCAGAAACCGTCAACACATCAGGTGATGAGAATTCACATCTGAGGGACCACGAGGGATGAGGTATTTATCGGACGCAGCCTCTGAGGCTTATTTTATTGTGCTGAAAGGCTGGAAGTCGCTTGGCAAGTGATCATCTGATGTCATACCAGTAGCCACATCCAATCTGCAGTGAATCTAGTCCTAAAGCTGCTGTCCCCACCTCAATGACGATGGGTTTCTGTGGTCCCCTGACCTTGAGGGTTTGCTCTCCTTGGGTTTGCAGTTATGGTATATGTGTGACAGCGTGGGGGGTGACTTAGATGCCAAAAGGCCCTTCACAACTTTGTGAAGCAATAGTTTGATGGACAGATCTTCCCATCAGCTGTGGGTTTGTGCAGACATGCTCTGCTTGTAAAACCTGCAGAAGCAGAGCAGCACCCCAACCACACCACGTTCTGCAGGTCGGCACCTTGCTTCTAGCTGTGTTCATTTACAAGAACCAAGTTGCTCATAACGATACATTTTGCAGTCAATTAGCACATGATATGATTTGGGACTGATTTACTCTTTTTTTTTTCCTAAAAATTCCTTTGAGGGCATTCAGACCTTTATTGCCATATTAAGCAAAGTTTTTAATCCAAATGAATTTTCTAGGAAACCATGTAATCTAATTAAAAAGCTCATAGTGCAGTTTAGTAGCTTCATTACTAGAAGATTTGAGATCCATCTTTACATGGATAAATATTTTCCAAGTGCAATAGACTGATAAATCCAAGGCATAATCACAAACTGATTCTGCCTGGAACTAAGTGGGTTACAGCACTTAGTCATGCCCATGAGAATGAAACAAAGGACAACTTGAAAAAGCTCAGGAAAAAAAAACCCAAACCAACACAGCCATTGAGCTGTTTCCTCCAATTCATGGAGCACCCAGCTTTGCTGTACCAGTGAGGACATTTTTCAGACTGACAGCTTTGGAAACCACCAGGAATGGTCACTTGCCTTGAAGCTGGGGGTCAAAGTAGACCAAGGCTAATGTGAAAGAAGCCAAAAGTTCAACATGGTCAAGTCTGATGGCCCTAGGGCTCAGTTTGACAATCACGTTCCTATAGCTTGAGAAGATACCACGTGTCAGCTGAGCCCCAGTAACTGGTTGAGCTCCTCCAGCCTGTGCCAGCTGCAATGTAATCTGATCATTCAACTCCCAGAGAAAAAGACTGACGCTAAATTGCATTAAATGATTGCCATCAGAAAACGATTACAGCCACATCCACCAACTCGCAGTTCACGTGTAGCCCAGCTCCAAGCACAGGGACCTGGACAGGAGGCATGACCATGATCAAACACCCTACTTTTACCTTCCCCAAAGAGTGAGGAGGAATGACTTCATGGGCAAGAGATGCAGAGCTGGACTCAGGATGAGCTTTGTGATGGATTTAATGATGGCTTGTAAATTCTTTGGTCACTTCTGACTCCGCTTCCTGAGCAATAAAAGGAGATGCACTGATTTAACTTCTCCCATTTCTGCTCTGTTCATGTTGCAACGGCCAACATGCCTCAGAAACCTGTGCATTGAACTGTAAGACCACGAGTCTGGACCACGTGGCATCTCTCTGTGCACGCACAAAGTTCCTTGAAGCTCTAAAAACTTCCAGCTCGGAGAAAACCTCCACTGACCGACAAGATTTTATTACAACTCACACCTTATCCTTCTTGCAACTCACATCCTTCCCTCCTTCATAGAACAAACCTTTAAAAAAGTCTCAAACCTGAAAACAAAAAGCCATATTATATAGCAACTTAGATAAATAAACCCATTCTTCTCTCCTGGGGAACAAACCATGGTGCCTGTACAGCACTTCCCAACCACCTAACCTGAAGGTCTGGACCTTTCAGCAAAGTTGGGTAGTTGCATTCATGAGATGCATTTGTTAATACAGGTAAGAGCTGTATGACACCACAGGGTACAAATTTCTACCAATAATTTAAGTTTACAACACAGGTACTATTATTTTTCAGTATCCTGCTCCATGCTATTTCCATAGAAACTATATTGTCAACTTATAATTTTCACACTAAGTGCATCCCACTGCATCATCTCCTCAGAACAAACATCCCCACCCACTTGCACAAAACTGCAGTTAATTGTTACTCAGAAAAAACACCCCTCCCCAGTGACAGAAGAAGTTGAAGTTTAGTGCAAGTCAGCTTCCACCCAGATATTATTTCAAATATATTTGCATTTGCACACCCGGGCAGGTCAATGTTCAGAGGTCAAAGCGTGGTTCCTCCACTGTCGAGTGAGTGTGGTCTCTGCCAACTGTTGGGACAACGTCTGGTCCTTCCAGAAACACCCAGATGATGATCAGGACTGAAGACAAATTTTTGCTGGGTTCCTGCATCATCAGTCAGAGTCTAATGCTGATGTCCTGGTACAATAAAGCAGGAAGCACTGACATGGAAGCCTACAAAGCAGGACTGGAGCAGATGCTTCAGTGTTTTAATGTATCAGAGCTCAAGTTAAATCCACAGATCTGCTTCTGAACATGACCACCCTCACTTTAGCTGGTTGAAAATGCAGGAAGAAAGCCAATATATCTCCTGCTTCCCTTTCCACTGGAGTCCAGACTGTTCAAAATAATGACACGTAACTCAGCCTCTCTCAAAAGCAGGGTCAGGGATCGTTGCATTGGTCTGAGGGATGCGTGACAGCAACCCACCTCACCTGCTGAAGCCAAGCTGGCTCTAAAGGATGCCCTTTTCAAGGTGCTCAAGCACAGGGGTACAGTCTCTCTGGATGACTCATGGCCCTCTTGGCCTCGAGCACCTTAACCATTGCCCAGCAGAAGCAGAGCTTGCACAGCTCACCAGGACATGCTGCAGACCCCATAGCTCCCTGCCAGCCTTCACCAACCAGTCTAAAATGAACTACTGCCCACAACTGCCTCAAATCCACTCTCTGTGCCAAAGCCAAAGCCTGTGTGATCTCACTGGCTCTCTGCCCAAGAATTACACCTGCAGGGACAACTACTTCTGGACCATCAGGTAGGTAACCTCCATCCACCACGTGTGCAGATAGACACTGGGGAACGACACAACCCAACCATGCATCTCACACTGCCCTTCACCCCACACTGCAGCGCCAGCAGCCAGCACATGAGGACTTACCTGTTGTTATTCTTCAGTTTAATGTGGTCACTGGTCTCCAGGATCTGCCCGTTCCTCAGCCAAGTGATCTGCGGGGGGGGTTCCCCTTGGGCCACACAAGTGAAGATGGCAGTAGTCCCCACGGGCCTGGAAATGGACTGAGGATGCTGCACAAACTCTGCAGGGGCTGCAAGGAGGAAGGAGAAGCAGGATTAGAAAAGTTGTGATGATCCCACTTTATCCTGGTACAAAGAGTAACCTCACAGCTTGGGCTTCAATAAGCCTTGTCTGCCTGGGAACATGGGATACGTGGCCAATCCAGAGCACAGGTAGCAGATCACTATGGTTTGGATGGTGTGTCTGTAATCAATGCAATGCTGCAATCTGGTTGCCCATCCTGGTAGTCACGACTTCATAGAACACACCTGAAGGCCAGCTCAGTACTGTACGGAGAGCCGAGGTGAGTCCTGCCGGGTTCAGGCAAACAGCATCGCAGAATCCCAGAATTACCTCAATTGGAAAAGCCCTTTAAGATCATCAAGTCCAACCATGAACCCAACACTGACAAATCCACCACTAACCCATGTCCCTCAGCACTGTGTCTACACGACTCTTCAATCTCTCCAGGGATGGGGACTCCACCACTGCCCTGGGCAACCCCTTCCAATGCCTCAGAACCCTTTCAGCAAAGAAATTCTTCCTCACATCCCATCTCAACTGCCCTGGGCACAACTGGAGCCCATTTCCTCTTGTCCTGTCCCTTGGTCCTTGGTTGAACAGACCCACCCCCACCTCTCTACACTCTGTCACCTCTCCTCAGTCTCCCACTGAAAGCAACCCCAGGGCCACACAATAATCCATGTCTGACAAAGGTTATTTGAAAACACATCCTGCCTGTGAGGGGAACATGCTACGGAGGTTTGCAAAGATCAGCACGTGCTGACGGTACGAAGAGTGGTGAGGAAGAACGGCTTTAACAATAACATTTTAAAACAGAAAGTGATTTCCCCTCTTCCAGCAGCTCTAAATAGATTTAAAATCATTTATCAGGATAAACCAGCGTACCAGCTTACAGAGAGCAGGGCCTGAGAGACACTGCCAGACAGGTGAGTTTATTCAAGCAGTTCCACTTCAAAGGGCAAAGTGATAAATATCCTCCACGTTGCTGCTGAGACCTAAAATCAGGTGGAACCGGCAGAAGCCACAACAAAGACAAACAGATGAAAGGTACGGGCCCGTAATGAATTTACTGACTAGTGTCACATGATGGATGGCATCAATTTTTTCTGACAAAAGCAAGATTATCCACAGAGATATGCTCAGTGCCACTCGCTGGAATTTTCCAAGCATGGGGTTGGTGGGCTCTGCCACCAGCAGAGATGCTGGATAGGAGAAGAGAGTAAATTGATCTAGTAAAATGTTTTGAGGGTTGGCCAGGCTGCAGGTGGGAGAAGTTATACAAGAGCTGAGTCTTGTGGTTCATGGCCAAAAAAAAAACCCCTCAGGGTTCACTGCAGAGAACAGGGTGATAAAGTTCTTCCAGAGCCGCAGGCATGCAAGGGAAGAGCATCACTACTGCTGCAAAAAGGGTAAAGCGCAGCGCAAGGTGCGTGTAAGAGCAAAGTCCTGCACATCGTAAGTCCTGCAAGCAGCAAAGCGCAGCGCAAGGTGCATGTGTGTAAGAGTAAAGTCCTGCACATCGTAAGTCCTGCAAGCAGAAAGACACAGAAATTCACTGAAGAGCCTGTCTACCTCAACGGAGCCCCCTCTTTCATTTTTAATAATCAAAGGGAAGCAGAGCATGGCAGGTCTGACTTGTGTTAGCGGCAGGAGGTGTCCGCTGGCAGAGTTTATTCTCAGGCCACTTCTGCCGGCGCTTGGGTCTACTAATGAACCTGATCTCAGCAACCTAATGGACACCTATTTCTAGAACCTCCTGCTAAACTTCCCCAGGTGCATTAATGTTTATAAATATGTTAAGGGCAAATGTCATGAGGGTGGAGCCAGGCTCTTCTCAGTGATGCCCAATGGTAGGACAAGGAGCAATGGGTGTGAGCTGGAACACAGGAGGTTCCGCTTAAACTTGAGAAGAAACTTCTTTACAGTGAGGGTGACAGAGCCCTGGAACAGGCTGCCCAGGGAGGGTGTGGAGTCTCCTTCTCTGGAGACATTCAAGACCCGCCTGGACACCTCCCTGTGTGATCTCATTTAGGTTCCTGCTCCGGCAGGGGGATTGGACTGGATGATCTTTCGAGGTCCCTTCCAATCACTGACATTCTGTGATTCTGTGCCAATTGATCCCTTGTCCTTCTTTTTCCCTCCTACATTTTTTTCCCACCCTCTAGACTTAGAAATTAAAATAAAATTCAGGATGGATTCAATAAAAGTTGGAAGGATGGATACACAAGGGGGAAAACCCCTCTTCCCTGCAGTGAAGGTCCCTTTGGGGTGTAGAGTGAGAGCATTAGAGATTTGATTTCCAAGACTTCCTTAACCTCCCACCCTCAGCTTTGTACCAGCACAGTTTTACAGGAGCAATTATTTTGCAAGTGGCCGTGCCCCTCTCTGCTTTCATCTGGGCTCACCAGTTGTACTCGCAGGTGTAAAACCACGATGCTGAGGAACAGCACAGCCATCTTCCAGCTCCTCGCTGCGGCTTTATTAAAGATCCTGCTGCTTGGCTCTTGGCCTTTGCCACCCCGTTGGCTTCACCAAATCTCAAACCTATTATTTGTTCCAGCAGAAACAAAGTTTAAATATGGAAAGAAGCATCCAGTGTAACCCTTCTGGAATTGCTGGCTCTCCTCACCCTCCCTCGTTAGCCTGTGTCAAGAGGCAGTAATCGGAGCGGAGTCGCCTGTGACTCGGGATAACGAAGGTGCAGCTGCGGCCGCTGGCTCGGCGCCAGCGATGCTATTCAGGACCGTGGCCCCTCGGGTTCATCAGGTCCCTGATCCCCTTTGCTGTCCCTCCTCTTTGCTGTCTCGCTAAACACAACCAGATCAAAACCTCAGCTCCTGTTTAACTTGCTTAAACTCCCTGGGGAGCAGGCGGCCAGTCCTTCGAACGGCTCCCACCTCAGCTGTGCTGAGCTGTCCCTGCTTGGTGGTATCCCTTGCTGCAAGACATGGGATGTCCTTCCGCTGTTCCTGCTGCTCCTGGCTTTCTCCAGGCATTGCTCCATCCCCTTCTAGTCTCACCCTCCTCTTTTTGATGCAGAAAGGAGCAGCACTGTGAAGCTGAGGTGGTAAAAGGGTCCAGGCTGCAGAAGAAACCCATGAAGTGAAAAGGCTCCTTGTCCCCATCACCGACAGCACCAGAGCAAGGACTTGGTCCAGGTGCCACCGGGTCTTAATATGGGGACAGACACTACTGCAAGGAGATGCCCCTCTGCTACCCTGGACCAGGGTGCCCCAACGCTGTGTTCACACCAATGTCCCCAGGCAGAGTGCCCCGAGATGCCAGCTGGTGCGTGAGCTGGGGCAAATGGTTCCTTTCCTGGACAGAAGAACGTTCATTTTTCTCTCCCAGGTCCTCTCCCTGCCCTTTCAAATGATTTCAGCAGAGAGTTTGCCACCCGTGGCCCTGAGTTAGCAGGAAAGGAGCAGAAGCAAAGCCCTGTCTTCAGCCAAGCCCTGCCTGCTGCCAGCCCTCCACCCTCCTCCTCGTTCATAATTAATAGAGCATCGTGTCAGAGCTCATCTTGCCCTGCATGGACTCACAGCAGCCTGAACACTCCTCTCCCTTCCACCCCATGTGCCAAAAAGCCATTGCAAGCAGTGAAACAAAGTGTCTCTCAGCCTCCATGAAGATCTTAACGAAGATATTAATGAAGATCACTGTTAAGAGCAGAGGATTCAAACCTGGTGAGGAGGAGCAGGCAGGATCCAGCTCTGGCTTGTGAAGTATGAAGAAAACAGAGCTTTGACTATTCAGAACTTAATGGGAGAGGGGGGATGACACAGTTTTAATGAATTTTTAAAGGCGTGACATTGGAATCAAAAAGCAATAACACCCCCAGAATCACTAACGAAGTGCTTCAGTAGCTTTTACTGTGTTCAACAAACTCTGACAGCATGAAGACGCCCCATAACAGCAGGTTGTATTGGGAGACCTGGATGGGCTCCATCTCTCTGGGGACATCTCATCTCAGCAGTGACGAGCCAGAAGTTGCCCCACAAAGATAACGGGGAGCTTCACTGCATGGTGCTTATTGCAGCGCCCAACAGCTCAATGAGAGGGGTTGTCCTAAGGAATGGGGAGCACTGACATCTGATGCATCGTTGCTCATTGCACCTCAGTAGGAAGCTGTCATTATTTCTCAAGGAGCTAGAGTGGCAGGGTGAGAGAGGGAGGCTGAGGTGAAGAGAAGGAAGAAAAAGATGGAAACAACAAAACCTCATAAATTAGGCTATCAGAACCTACAATAAGGGTGTAAAGGAGAAGATGGGTCAATGGGTAAGTCAGTCAAGCACAGCACCAGCTGACAGGAGATTAAGACAAAGAACTGCTGCCTACTTGGCTTCTCTCTGTTGACTACAGAGGATGCCCAGATGCTTATGTGAGCAACTATTTAAGGTGTAGAGCTGGTGGGATTGCTAGGGCCAAAGATGGGAACCATGACCATGTCCCCATGGAAACAGGCAGAGGCCACTCAAGGAGGTTGTCATGGAGGCTGTCCATCCACCATCAGTGGGTATCATGACCTTCTTTTCCCAGCAAGGTGCAGGTTGGAGCTCTAAAGCAGTGGGACGTGTTTCCACATCATCTACTGTCCTGCTCCTGGGAGGATGCTCTGGAGGTCTCAGGCAGCCCATCTCACTCCAATGTCCCAATGGATGAGATCTGAGAGCCCACTTGTCCCTGTGGCTTTTCTTGAGAAGGAAAACAAGCACCTGGGTAGGAAGGGGATTGCGTGGGGCACACTGACCCACGCAGCAGGTACCAAAAGCTGGGTAACTTGGGGCTAAACTTGAGGACAAACCAAGCACCCCAGAGCTGAGCCTAAAACACAACAACCACAATACATCTGCTGCTGAATTCAACCCTGCAGCAGCCAAGGCTTGCCACGCCAGCGAGCAAGAACCATGGAAGAAACATCAGGAAACGCAGCGGTGGCCGGATCTGCTGGACCAAGGGAACTCTGCCCGGTTCCGCCAGCAGAAAGCAAAGGGAACAAGGCAGTCATTGTCAGCAGAGCCTTCAAAAACATGTCCTTAAGATGGGCACTCATTTATGAGATGGGATCTCATTTTTCTGCATAGCTTTCAAGAGGAAATGAAGCGTGGAGTAGAGAACACTGGTGACCATCTGGCCATTCACAGCCCATCAGTTTGTTATGACACCAAACACATAATAAAGCACAAAAGATTGCACAGGAGGTAGAGGGAAAGCGCTTTGATATATTTTTTCCCCCCCCCTTGCCACCAAAGCCTGCTCTTCCCTTGCACCACATGCACGTACACCCTCCGCTTCAGCCGGCGATGCAGTCGGCCCTTCGACAACACCCCCCGTGAGACTTTCATTCGTAGCCTGGTACAAAGCAATATTCAAATGGCTGCGCTGGGATCTGAAGAGAAAATGGAAACTTTCTTGTGTGAGAACCTTACAAAAGAGATCAAAGGAGCCTAAATGGCCAGGGGAGGGCAGGGAGGGAGGGAGGGAAGGAGGGAGGGAGCGGGGGACTGACGCCTTCTCCTCTGAAGGGAGGAGGAATTCCCAGGAAGATAATAAGACGGTGTTAGATGATCTGAAGAAGAGCCTGCAACGTGAAAGGATATTAGTGTTGGAATAAGAGCAGAGCCCTGCACTGGGACACCTCTGCCCACTGCTGTGACGGGGATGAGGATCACCGCTGGCAGTAGGAGGGTGGACCTGGTCCCAGTCCCAGCCTCCCACTAACTCCTTACGCCTTACAACAGGAAACATGGCCCTTTCTCCTCCAGTTTCCCACCTATAAAACGTGCCTCCTTCAAAAGACGTGGGGCAAGTTATTTTGTGCTTCCAGGCACTTCAAGGGCCCCCGCATAAAGGCAGCAAGTACCTGGCCTGGCGTGCTTTGAGGATGCTGTATTGTCCTAGCCCTGCGCTAACTTCCTCTCCAACCAGGCTTTTGATAGCCCCTTCTTTGTTTTTATCCTCTTTACGGATGTAATTTGCATCGCTAACATCTTGACAAAGATAAAACCCCCAGTCTCCCATGTCAGTCATTATCGGTGTTTTCTTCCCAGACAAACCTGAACAGTAATCATTTGTACCTCTCAGCTGGAAAATTCTGGCAAAATGAGACTCAGAGGAAGGAAAAGCTGCTTCCAGAGGAAGGGTGAGCAGTCCTGGGATGAGCCCAGCTGCCTGGCCAGGGTCTGCCATCAGCTTCCCTGGGGAATAACAGTCCCTCAAAAAACATGAAGCATTTTATGGCAACAGAGGCTGGGATCCTGGACGCTGCAGCTCATGTCTAAGGGCTACACCAAGGATGCAGTAGCCACGCTTCTCCATACCACTGCCAACCTCTCTGCGAATGCTGAACACAGGAGCATCCCCCTTCTGCAGCGAGGGTGGGCTCCCATGGTCCTGTGATCACCATTTTAGGGACAAATTCTGGGTTCCCCAGGTGAAAATCCACAGTAATTCTATCCCAGATAAACTCCAGCACTAGATCAGCGGCTCAGGAGCCGATGTTCAAGCCTCCAAAGTGACTGAAAACTGCCAATCCACAGCAATGAGAAGCTGTGCTACCTGTCTCCCTCTCATCCAGTCGCTAACACGAGCAGTCAACGCTATTCCATAGCCATATTTTTACAACTTCAGAGATTCTCCAAGGCATTTCTTTTGGCTCTGCCTGTCTGCCTCCTCTACATCAGCTTTGTGTTTAGGTTTAGTAGACCTCTGCTACATGCACCATGTGCAGAGTTGTCCTGCAAGCTGCTCTAAAGGGTTTGTATCAGCACAGTGAGGTTGTTCTTAATGCCTGGGTTGATGTTTCTTAATAAGGGGTTTATAGTTGTGCCCACCACCAGCCAGCTGGGAATCCCCCTTCCTTGCATTGCTCACCCAGAAATCCAACAGCAAAAAAAACGGTGAGTTTTCATCTCCTGTCGTGTCTGACCAGCACCTGGGACTCAGGAGGTAGGACCAGCCTTGTAGAAGCACCCTGTGCTCCTCGCTGCTCCCAAGGCCAAGGGGAAGAGGGATGCCAGCACCCAGGGATCACGGCTGCTGCGCAAGCGGTGCGGTGCCGGATCACCGCCAGAGACTCCCGGGACCTGTCAGGTGAGTGTCAGGGCTGGAGCAGGGCACTTTCCCCATCACCAGCATGAAAGGTTCAATTAGCTGGCTCCGGCAGGAGGTGTGTAATTTTAGATTCAGGATATCATCAGTCAATAGTTAATGAGTGAACTGATGAGAGCGCGAGATGCTTTAAGTGGACGAGCTTGAAGAGGAGGTGAGTGCCTGCAATCAGGGGCGGATTACTGCCATTCAGAGCACGCTGCCAGCTGGGTTTGCCTTCTGAAATACTTGCCTGGTTCCCCTCACCATGGAGACTGGTCGTGCAGAGCATGTGGAGGGGATTTGTTTGGTTTCTTGAGGGCTGATCTCTACTCTGAACTGGATCACCCTTTAGAAGTGACATTTCAGGACAGTTGCTGCGGGGAAGGGGAGCAACCTGCATCTCCTGGGCATGGCCCCCAAAGAGTGCTTTACCCACATCATGGCAAGGGGCTCAGATGGTGTCAACTGCTAAAGAAAACAGTCTCACTGACTTTTTGGAAACAGCTTTAGACTTACTTGTGTCATTTCAGTTGGACAGCAAGACTCTGTGAGTGATATCTACTCCTGGATATCACTGCAGGAGAGATATCTACCACACAGAGAGGTCCAGTATGAGAAGTGTCCACGTCCCCACAGCACGAAGGACTGTGCAGGGGTAAGAGATGAATTTGGCTGATTAATTCAGCTCAGGCTTTCTGCTGAGATGCACAAGTATGACAACAAGTAACAACCAGTCTCTGTTAAAGCCAAATAAATGCCTGGGGTGGGAAACCATTTCAACCCATGCAGCTGAGGCCTCAGTTGAATGATACCTGGTTGCTGTTCACCTGTGTGGGACACAGAGTCATACACCCACTTGGAAAACCACGTGTCTAGAAAAGATGTGCTTTGTCTGATACCATCAGAGAAGCCAAGTCAGTACCTGTCCAACCCAACCCATCACAGCACCCAGGGGGACGTGTAGAGCCTGTGCAAAGGGTACAGTGAAGTGGGGATCACAGCTCCACGAGCCCCAGGTTTGCTCACCTTGTACCACGAGCCTGCCCTGCGCGGTCCTTCGCACCCGAGTGCCGGGTTTGTTCGCGGCACACACGTAGATGCCAGAATGCTGCACGGTGAGGTCTGAGATCATGAGATTTCCTGTCCCCAGCACCTGGATCCCCTCCACGCCAATTGGGCGGCCGTCTGAAAGAAGGGAAAAAGGATAAGAGTCACATGCTGGACCTTTGTGTGAGGTTCTCCAGGGTACAGCCCTTGGTGAGGTCTGATCTAAGTACTGATGGAATGGTGCCATGCTCTGTCATTGGGATTTGCCAAGTAAAGCCAATGGGTGTTAGCTGATGCTCCTAGCAGAACTGCCTTCTGGAGAAAACCAGGATCCTCAATGAGATGTTTGCCCAAAACCACACTTTGTGTTGCTTGGAAAACCAAGGTACCATCTCAGAAACTGTGAAAGCTTTCAACCACATGTTCAGGTTAGGATGAAGCACCCACAACACTTTTCAATAGAATGGTTCAACCAAGTTAAATCATATCAGCTTCTGCAAGCCATTGCCTGGGTTCTTACATTACACTGACCAAGGATCCAACCAGCTCAACATTCTGCTTACAACAGAGAGGCTTTAGGAAGGAGAAAACCAGCCAACCTACAACAGTACATCCCTGATGACTCTCCCAGCCACCAGCAATTTATGACTTGGGAATTTCCTGAGCCAGAAGTTATACCCTTTTACCTGCTAACCCTTGCCGGATTTTTGTGGCTTTGGAAACTATGGATTTTCAATTCCTTAGCCCTTGAACACATGGAATAGCCCAAGGCCAAGGAGCCAAACTCTGAGCTGGATGGTTAGATCTGCTCAGGTCTTTTGGTTTGGAAGGACAACTGGAAAGGTCTGCCTTCATCCTGAGTGCTGGGTCTGAGGCAAGCTGGCAGGACAGCAACGATGGCTCTAGAAAATCATGCTTGGGCTCTAGCACAAGGTCTTCAAAATCAACGGGCTTATCGTGAAATAGCTCAGTATCAGGGAAGTCACCTTTTTCCAACAAAGCCTGTTTCCACTGGAAAGCTCCCAGCCAGCTCTAATTACAATGTGTTTCATTAGTATCCGGCTGTTGCTTTTTATTGTTTCATTGGTTTGTGTTTTAAGACACTGTCTGACAAAGGCAGCTCTAAATCAGCCCTAGCATGTGTCAGGGTGTCTGGGCAGAGGGGCAAGGCAGCGGAGTAGTTTTACTGGAGGAGCAGTTAAAGGGAGCACACTTCCATCAGATGGGAAATGGGAATCCAGTTCCTCTCTTGCCTTTGCTCATGAAGGAGTTTAAAGAACCTACAAAAATAGGAGAAGCAAGAAACCAGCCCTGGTGATCTCCCCACCTAACCATCCGATAAGCCCTCCATAGATGTGTGCTCTGTAATAGCAGAAGAGCCTGAGCTTTGAGCTTCAAAGTTGTGGTTAGTAAAAGGAAAAATTCATCTGAAAAATGCCTCCTGGGAGTTCCCTTGGTCTGTGCTGTAACCTTGCCAAGGAAATGGAAGAAGCCAAATGAAATCAGAACTGTTCTGTAGGAAGCAATGGGTCATGAGGAGAGACCTGAGATGCTCTAGCTGGTTTCCTCTCCTGTGGGGCCACCTCCTGAGTGATGCTAGATAATGTCTGTTCAACCCGCTTCAAAATTGATCATCATCCAGTGGGCAGAACAGTTTCCAGGGATGTTGAGTGCTGAAGGACCTCAGACTCAGCCTGGTTACCAATATTTGTGGCCCACAACCACTTCAGTGGCTGCATCTGGTATAATCCAGCACTGGGAAAAACCTTTGTGGGAGACACAAATTGTCACAGGGCTGCTGCAGCCATCCCGAGATGCCTCATTATCCCCAAGGATTTCCTTCATAGCCTCTGCTGTCCACTAACATGACCCCTGACCATGACCTGGCTCACGCCTGACCTCAGGCAGGCTTGGTTCTTCAACACAGACAGGCATGCAGAGCTAGTTAAAAGTTATCTTGCAATCCCAGGCTTTAGATGTCATATCGTGCTTTGCATAATGAAGAATATTATGAGGATTTGAGCCATTCATAACCAACAGGTTCTGGAATAGATCAGGAAAACATGAAGTTAAAGCAGCACTCAAGAAGTGGGACAAATTAACCATCAACCCAGAAACACCACTTCGTAACCTGCTGCCCAGCAAGCCCTTGGATCCCTGCAGAAAGGCACATGATGGGATGGAGAGCAAGTGTCTCAGGCAGCATTAGTGAGAGAGAGACACATTCACCAGCTTGCAAACCTGGGACATGGAAGTGAGGGATCCCATTTCAGATTAACGGTGAGGAAACACCAGCAAAACATGGACCGAGAGCTACAAGCCACTTCACAAACGTTTCTCCTGCCACGCTCTGTATATATTGTTTTTCAGGAAATTTTTAAACTTAAAAGTTTCCTTGCTTCATTAGGCAGGCAATGCCAGATTACTTCATTATTTGCATTGCAAAGAAAAATGCTCGAGTCTTTTAGAGAGAGAGAAAAACAATGTCATTAAATGATTAAATGATCACATAGCTGGCCAAGCCACTGCAGCAGTAAATGGCTCAGTCGTAAAAAGGACAGTAAAACATGACCTGTCCCACATTTAATGAGCAATAAGAAAGAACCATTCCTTTCAAACATCATTCGAACTGCAGTGCAAAGAGGTCTGAAATAAATTCAAATTGAACTGGATTTCATCTTTTAAATTAGACCTTTTAGAAGGTCCATATTTACAATAGGTGTAAAAATCAAATCTCTCTCTTGAGGGAGGGCTGGGACCAGTGAAAAATGTGAAGTGGCCATACCTGGATGCTTCATCTCATCATTGCCTTAAGAAATACCACAGAAATGTGACTTGAATGTCAGTGGTTTTACTGTATTATTTATAACGTGCTACATAATTTAAGCAGGCAAAGATCCAGCCTGCAGCAGGATCCAAATACCAGCATCGATAGGTCCTCAGTTGCCTCTCTAGCTCCAACTATTTATTAGAGGTGTGGTGGTCTGAAGAAACATCTCCTGTCAACCAAGCACCTGAAGAACTCAGGTCCTCCGAGCTCAGAAACCTCGAGGGATCTGCCATTTGATTCAGAGAGCGTGGCCACCTCTCACAGCCAGCAAAGAGCACTCTGCCAGATCATCTCATATGCCTCATAATCAACTCCTCCCTTCCAAAAAGCGCTGAAAAGGGTTTGTAGAGAAATATCTCTGCTTTCCCAGCCTGCTCCACCCCCCTTATTCTACTGTGCCTCACTCAACCTGAGCCATCCTGTGATCGGTTAGGAGCTCTTCAGCTAATATCAAGCCCAACTCAGTAACACTGACAACACACACAAATAACAGAGTATTTACAGAGAAATCCCTCGCATGCAGACAGCTCAGCACTTCACAGAAGTGCTATGCAGAGGGACTGAGATCTCACACCTGCTTTGCGAAGGTTGCTATCTGTTTTAACCCTGTTCCACTTATACAGAGACCTGAAGAGTGGCTTGGATCAAGAGATCCAGACCCTGAAAACCCACCCTGGTATTGCCTGTCATCACCAAGTCATCTCTCCATGGAGGAGATCTGAAAGACTGCCAAAGCTAACATTGTTGCTCAGTTCCCAAAGCTCTCAAGACCCACGCGAGCTTGAACATGCTGCTCATTTAACGTCACCTTCTACTTCTTCTTATGAAGTCAAAAGCAGAAAATTCGAGGGCTGAAAAGAAGCCATTCTGGGTGGAAATGCTGACAGATTCTCTCTGTCCATCCTCAGCTGATGAAGGCAGAAGGGGGAGGTTCAAGTGGTTATGAAGAGCAGTCAGGTAACCAATCAATAAAGGAAACCATTCTCCAGATGGGAGATGCTCCCAAAAGATGCCCCAGCTATGGACAAGTAGAGGCTTCCAGGTTCCCCATTGGTGTGAAGTCTGGATGAATGATGTCTGTGGTTTGGGAGCTGCACTATTTATTTTTCCAAGGTGTTATGTGATGTGTTCTGGAGTCTGTTCTCCGCCTGCTCACCAAGTGATTGGCACACCGGCACCAATTACAGAGACCCGTTAAAACGTGCCAGGCGATATGAATATGCAACAACACGGACGCTTTTCTTTTATAAGTAGCAAGTAGAAAGAAAGTAACAACTTTCTAATGTTGATCATTTAGGTCTTTTGTGAATTCTTTGTATTGTGCCACAGTAGCCTTCCACTTTTTAGACACATGGGTCTCCTGCTCCGGCGGACACCGGGCACCGTGGATTAGCATATTTAGAGTACACTGCAACAGTTGACTATTCAGTATGTGAAGTGGTGAAATTTACTCTATTATTTCTAAACACTTACGGGAATGGTGCTCCTGTCAACCAGTCAGCCATCTATTGCAAGCTTCTGTGTCCAATAAGTTACCAATTAATTGGCTCCTACAATTGTTGTATAGTTTACTTCTTGAATAGCTCCCTCTTTAGTAATTTCCTTCCCATTGTGCGACCCTTTCTGACAACTTCTGTATAACGCTATCAGATAATCACTGTCTTTTCTCCTTCGCCTCACTTTTTTATATCTCTCTAAATAGTTTATTATTCTGCCTTGGTACCTTTTATGGAGGCCAGCTCAGTGGCCTGTCAGTTAAAGGGTAAGGATACATTAAAATCGTCGTTCACTCAAAAGGCTTTGCTGTAAGTGCCCAGGATATTCATTTGTGCACACATACAGGTCCGAGCCTGAAGTGTGTAGCTCTGAAAGGAAAAGCCCTATCTTCCCTGAACAAACCCTTAATGATTTTACATTTCTCTCAGAGCCTGCTCTCTAATAAATGTTGACATTTCATGCACGGCGAGACACAGGAATTCTGTTTGTGGTCAGAGGCTACAACGTATTCCCAAGGAAATTAAATTCAAAATTGATTGCGTGACACTCAAAAACCAGCTCAGAATTCAAGTGATTTCCTTCAAGCAAAATATAGCTGCTTTTCCCACTGAAAACCAGGCAGGTTTTAGCAAAGCCAAAGCAAGAAGTGCAAATGTTGTTTATGGCTTGCTCTCCCCTGCACCAGAAAGCTGTAAAAGCAAAATTGTTCTTTCGCTCCTTTCTGATAGAATAAATGTCACAACATCAAAACTGTGAGCAAAGGGGTTCAGAGAGACACCCCAAAACGGCAGCATGCCCTGGGCAAAGACCTGGCAGCATGGCAGTGCCATGACTCTTCTTTATTTTGACCAAGCAAGAAAGATGTTCTCATATAATTGACTTCTTTTGTTTAAATTAAGTCAGGTCTACTGCTAAGCCAGCTCTATCTCTCTAAGACTTTGTGGCTGTGGGGTTTTTTATTTCTGGAAGTGGATTAAAAGTGGGGTTTTTTTCTAAGTAAATTAACTAGCTATTTAAGCTAAACCAGCTCTGCAGGAGGAACTTCAGGAAGGAGACCCTCACATAAGAAGCCACATATACAGATGACAGATGTTTGGAGGATATCCTCGTCCAGTATAAACCCTCTCCCTCCTCCTGATCATAGAGACACGGAGACATAAAAGTGTTTCTGAAATGGCTACAAAGAGATGACAAACCCACCAACTCATCAGCGAGCCTGGATGCCACATCAACTGTGAGGGTGGTGAGACACTGGAACAGGTTGCCCAAGGAAGTTGTGGATGCCCCCTCCCTGGAAGTGTTGAAGGCCAGGTTGGATGAAGCTTTGAGCAACCTGGTCTAGTGGAAGGGGGCCCTGCTGGTGGCAGG